GCATCCGAAGAAGTGGGTTGTAGCCCACGAAAGCTTATGCTCTAATAAATTTGTTAGTCTCTAAGGTGCCACAAGTAGTTCTATTCTTTTTCCAAGAATGATCACCCTGTTAAACATCCATTAGTGGATAATTGCTATTGTAAACAAATTAACCAGGATAGACCTTTGCTGCATTTGAGGTTAATAGTACCAGGATTTTTCCACTAAACAGTGGCTGAACTGTAATGTAAACACCCATAGTTAGGTCAATATGGTTAAAAAGAGAACAAAATTGATCCACATATTTTTATTGTCATGACTGAGTGAAATGCAAAAACACCCAACATTGATGTGGGGGAAATAAAATTAGAATTAATTAAAAAAAAAAAAATGTTACCACATGTGTGATTCTTGCGTCTGAACTCTAACCTGACACTATCTTCTTCAGAAAACCTAGACTTCTCAGTCAGACAAATTGGGAATTAATTCATTATCTTGATTTATATACATATTTCATCAGTTCTTGAAAGTGCAAAACAGCCACAACAATGGCATGTTAAATACCCATGCTGTGTAAGGTGACTTCTGCTTTCTAGTACCTCCAACATAATGGAGAGGTGAGAACTCTGTCAAAGCCTCAGTGTTTGTGGTCAGCATGTTTGTGGTGCTAACACAATTTCTTCATATATTATAAACAGCTGCTTCGATGCCCCAAACATTTTGGGGGAAGATTACATAGAAACAGCTTCAGCATCTATACTCCAGCACAAACATGTTATCTAAAGTAAAGGTCTGCAATGTTCATTTTTAGGGACCCTCAGTTTATAGTCCAGTTTCAGAAATCCTTTCCAGTTTTATCAGGCCAAATGCTAAGAGTCACTCCGCGCCCCCCGTCCCCGCCCCCCCACATGTGTTTAATTGTGTTTTGTAATTCTATGCTGTTCTGGATTTTTTTTTTTTTAGCCAACACAGATGGGAGGTGTACCAGTAATGACACAACCAACTTTAATATACAGCCAACCTATCATGAGACCACCAAACCCTTTTGGCCCCGTTTCAGGAGGACAGGTGAGTATAAATCCAAAATATTTATATTTACATGATCCTGGAAATTGGTTGATAGCCAGGCCACAAATAGTTTGGTGTCTTATTTACACCCTCACTGTTTGTTGTAATGATGGTTTTGTCCTGTAGTGTGGTGGCATGTGGAGTCCATTTCCATTGTGCTATATAGAAAAGGGATTGCTTCTCAGCTGCTTATTAAAATTTTGTGTCAACAAATTCCTGTTTTGCAAAAGTAAAGTAAAAGGATGGCATTCTCAAGGGTCAGTTCCCTGGAGGAGGTGGTGATTGATGTCTGTCTTCCCTTTTCTTTAGATGAATGGTGATAGTAACTATTTTTAGTCTGTCTTTTGTGCATCCCCTTTAATCACTAAGCTTGTGTTCCACTGTATCTCACTCTCATGTTGTTCATTGCAGCTTCTCCTGGAAGCATATCATTATGCAAACATGTTTCATGCCAGACTCCTGAATTGCACTCCAATGCTACCTCTTGTATTCTTAAACTCATACTTTTCACAAGTAAAATATACAAGGCTGATATAGCATAAGCCCTTTTATTATAGCTGTGTGTGTCAAAATTGCAGGTAATTCCAGAGGTCAAATTTGGGCACCCAATATAGGCTTTTGCAAATCTGTGAAAGATTTCAGCATCTTGTGACACAATGTAGTCCTGACCTTCCAAACTCTAGGAACCACATTCTCCCCATGCCTCCCAGAGATTCTACTGACCCCTTTTTCTGAGTGTGCTGAATGTACTCACTCGCCTGTGTTAACTGCATAGTTTAAAGCTGACCAGCACCTCTAAACCAGTCTTGGGCTCAGAGAACTAACGTGCAGATTTTAAAGCCTGGATGGATCCCCAGTTCTGCCAAACACCGTGTCTTTCCAAGTTTTTGTCAAGTATCAGAGGGGTAGCCGTGTTAGTCTGAATCTGTAAAAAGCAACAGAGGGTCCTGTGGCACCTTTGAGACTAACAGAAGTACTGGGAGCATAAGCTTTCGTGGGTAAGAACCTCACTTCTTCAGATACAAGTTTTTGTGTGTCCCCTATCGCACATGGGGGATAGATTCATGTTCTATTGTATGTACGTACATAAAGGATACCTAGTTTCTGTTGGCAGTTTAAAAAAAAAAATCTTGACTTTCACTGTTGAGTAATGGATTGTACCAAATAGGGACAGCCTCTGATTAATCTGTCACACACTGCCTGCTTCTGTACTCCATTGTAGACATCTGAGTAAAAAAGAAGCCAGTATATTCTCTCCCCTTCAGTATTCATATTAGCTTGTCTGATGGAAGCCTTGCTTTGAAAAGTGAGTACAGGCAAATAAGTATTGGAGTTGGGTTTGTACCCTTTTTTCTCCTGATCTATGCCACTTCTTTAGTTTAGTCCAGAGCACGTTTCCATCTCATAAGAAATCTCATCCTCTTATTCAAGTTAAGATGGAATTTTGAATGAGAGGCTCTAAGGGAAAAGTTTTCCTGTGCTTTTGTTCCAACCTTTGAGAGGACTCTAAAACAAGAGAGGTTGCTTTGAGGAAATCATGTCCACCTCCATAATATTAGAGGACATCTAAATTTAGGGATGTCTGATCTTCACAGGCTGGTGGGATTAAATACTGAAGCTCTAAATTTTTTACGTTCCAATTAAATGATTTTTTTGGTTAAGAAAGCTAGCTTTTTTCTTTTCATCTGAAAGTAGCAGTGATCGGGGGGTGCGAGGGGCTAGAGCATACTCCTTTTGCTGCAGAGAACTTTGCCTTTTTATCATTGATCACGATGGGCCATTTAAATATAGATGTACTGTATTATGTAACATGGGGTAATATGTGTTGTCACATACAGAGAAATGCATGTGTGTGTAAATAAAACGTGCCTATATACAAAGTATCCATATTTTTAAATTACAGCGATTAGATGTCTGTCTGCCACTGTTAATATTGCTGATGTAGTGACTCTACCTGGTTCGCTTGCTCCTTGTGTTTAGGAACACTGCAGCGGCAGTGCTCATCAAGGAGAAGGGCCTCACGTTGTATTGCAGTGCTTTGCTCCTCATCCCAGGTTGATCAGAGTAGCTATGTTCACATTCAGCCTCACCTCTTTGAAGTGGGGACTTTGGAGTAAAAGGAAGACATGATGATCTGGGAGGGGCACTGTCAGATACAAATGTGGTTTTCAGTCTGAAGAAATGTTTTCCCTTTCATTGTTTCTTTTGGGCATATAACAGCCCTCTGTGTATAATCATTATCACAGTTCTCCTGTCTAGTCAGTCAGCATCTCTATGGATCTTTTATGCAGCACTAAGGATGGAAAGAGATGTTTTTTAAAATAGGAAAATATAGCTATTAGGGTGCCTCAAAGATAGGTGTACTTCATAGTCAATTTGAAATTTAGTGAAATAGAAAGTCCTTTTAAAAGCAGAAGCAAACTTTACTTCTTGCACATTTATTCTGTCACTTGAATGAATTCAGTTCTAGAGTAAACATGTGTTTAGATTTAATGTGAACTGTTAAAAGTGCAACCCACCCATTCCCACTGACCTTGCAGGTCTTGGGGCTGGATTGAGACCCAGCTGACTGCCATAAAGTGGGGGGACGGGGGGAAGGAGATGAGAGAATGCAGTTGCAAGTGGGCAGTATGCTTAATCTGGTGACTTGTAGGTTTCCTTTAACCCTCATATTGGACTAAAAATCACCCAGCTATTTCTGTATTGGGATCTTGGAGACCCACAGTATGTCAGAATTGGGAGGGGGGGAACACATGGATGCATTTAAAACTGACTTTTTTATAACCAGTGAACTATAAAACTATGAACAAGTTAAAACTTGGATAGATTCAGAAGCACACTACACAGCGTTTGTTGGGTTTAACTGACCCCAGGATGTTTTTGACAGATTGCATTTTTGATGTGTTTTTCTGTCTCCTTCTCTGGAACAGATGTAACAACTTTCTCGGTTTTCAGGCTCTGGGTCAGTGACCAGCACACTAGACACTTCTTCCCTAGAGCCCTGAGGCAAGGCTGCAGTGATTCTCTCCTGCACCAGGGTCTGCACCATTTCTGTACCCAGGTCTCTGGGAAACAGCCGGGTCTTACTCAAAGATTTGTTATGCCACGTGAGATTCAGCAAAATCCAAAGTCTATGTGCATTCAGACATGCAATGTGCATGTGCAATGCAGTGGTGAATCTTTGTCCCAGCAACAGCATCTGCCAAATGTGGGTTTGCCAAAAAAAATTTATTGACAATTGTGGCTTCCCCAGAAAACTCATCCTAGCAAGCATAGGTGTCCCAGAAAATCAGTTTGATGGTCTCTTCTGCAGACTATTGTGATAATACGTGATAATATGTGAGGCAGATGTTATCTGCGTTATTGCAAATCCCCAAGACCCTTTTGTGGCATTTTTTTGAAAAACAAAAACCACTGAAACTATGGGAAAAACAATGCTGAAAGATTCATGTACTCGTATCATAACTGCTGCCTCAAAATAAAAACAAACTGATGCTGGAATACCTGCATAATTAATTTGAGGTCTAACTGACCCCAATAACCTTTTGTGACTTTTTTTTGCTATGCTAAAACCACAACAGGTATACAGACAAAACCAGTGCTAACAGTTGTTCTCATCATGCTTTGAGAATACTTAAAGAAATAAAAGGCACTGGTTTGCTTATCATGTTTTACTTAAATTTTTGTACGTTTGGGGTCCAAGAGATCCCCGAAGACCTTATAATAAAATAATTAAAAAATAATTAATGGAGATATCCCATCTCCTAGAACTGGAAGGGACCTTGAAAGGTCATCAAGTCCAGCCCCCTGCCTTCACTAGCAGGACCAAGTACTGATTTTGCCCCAGATCCCCAAGTGGCCCCCTCAAGGATTGAACTCACAACCCTGGGTTTAGCAGGCCAGTGCTCAAACCACTGAGCTATCCCTCCCCCCTTGGAAGTGTAGTACTTTCATTTTCCCCAGTGATTAACATTGAAGGGTCTAACTGACCCCATTACCTTTTTAATGACTTTTTTCCCCAAAACCTCAGCAGGTAGGATGATAAAACCAATGCAGAAAGATGGACCTCACCCTAGTTTGAGAATACTTAATGTGTGAAGAGGCACAGGTTTGGCATGAAAATTTTTATTTACATTTTTGTGTGTTGGGGTCATATAAACAAAACATTAGGAGTTGCAGTTCCTTCAGAAACTATTGATTTTACTGGAAACACATCCTTTTGTTAGGCATTTACTGTGCAACTAAAGAAAGTCTGACACTGGCCCAATCACATCTGTTTGCAGTTGCTGAGTTTTAAATAAGTCTGAGATCAATAAGATCTTAGAAGGAAAACAAAGGCTTGTTGTGGGTGCCTCTTCACCATGCTAAATAGGGACAGTGTTGGCTGTAGATATTTAAATAATTCCTGAGTTTGACTATAATAGTCTGTTATACTAGAAAGATTGTATATTTAGAGTTTCAATGATCATTTCTATATTTGGGCTTAGTTTTCATAAGATCTTTTTTTGGTGATATGTTGGCAGTGGTTTTGTTAGTTGAGCTGCACAATTGGATTGCTCTGAAGTGAGGCTTATTGCTTGTTAACAATTTATTGTGTTGCAAAATAAGCTATTGGTTGATGCTTACTAGGCCACAGTCAGTGCCAGGAAGGTGATGCCCACTGCCTTTGGTCACAAGATGTATTAGACAAATACCTTGAACACTTTGCTCCCTGCTTTCCCTGTCCATTTGTATGTTCATTCTTCACAACCTTTTCTCCCTTCCTCCATTCCTCTTCCCTTAAAGCACACTAATCCAAATATCTATTTTGGCTTTTACCTTCTATACAGCCCTTGGAAAACTGCTTCAAAGTAGTCACCATAAGGCCATTCATTAATGAATTGTTTGGGCAATATGCCTAGCTAATTATTGGCCCATTAACAAAAATATTTCAGTTTTTAATTAGATAATAGTACTGATCTTACCATTAGATGAAATAGCAAACAAGCCAAATGTTAAGG